TCTCTCACTCTCTCGCCCTCTCGCTCTCTCTTTCCTTTTGTCCTGCAGTACCAGGGATTAAACTCAGGACCTTGCATTTGCCAGGCAGGGGCTTATCCCACTGAGCTATCTCCCTGGTCCTCAGTCCTCTTCTAAAGGACAGTTCTAGGGCCACAGAGATAGCTCAGTACACCAAGTACCTGTCTAGGCAAGCGCTAAACACCTGTCTAGGCAAGCACAAGAACCTGGGTTCAATCCATGCTGTGCCAGCCCCACCCCCAAGCCCGCTGAGCCAGCCACCAAGACCAGACACGATGGTGCATGCCTATAATCCCAGCGCTGGAGAGGCTGAAACAGGTGAATCACTACAAGAGACCCTGTACCAAATGCATAATAATAATAAGACAGTGCCTTTTCCTCCTTGGACATTTTAGATCATTTGAATGCCACAGAACTTTTTTTTAAAAAAAATTAAAAATTAGCCAATACTTCTTCAAAAAAAAAAAATGAATTCTGCTGAGCATATTTGCTCACCCCTGTAATCCCAGTTACTCAGGAGGCTTGAGGCCTGCTTGATCAACTTAGTGAGATTATTTCAAAATAAAAATTGAAAAAGCCTGGAGGGTAAGCACCCCTGGATTCTCTCCTGGTATTACCTGCACACAAACGAGACAAGTTGTAGTAAAGGAAACTACTAACACTGACCAAACATTAGAAAGTAATTGCATGAAGGCTACCTAAATAACCATTCAATGATGAAAACTTCTGAGTTTGGTACTGGGGCTCGAACTCAGGAGCTTTTGAGGTAGCCCTGCAAGCACTGTGCTACTGAGCTACATCCTCGGCCCTAAAAACTTTCTAAAGTAGTAATTGTCTGTTGTAATTTATTAAAAAGAATTGTACACTCCCCACCCACCTTTTTTTTTTTTTTTATGAATTTGGTACAGGGTTTCACTACGCAGCTCAGACTTGTAGTGATCCTCCTGTTTTCAGCCTCCTCAGTGCTGGGATTAGAAGCGTGCACCACCGTGCCGAGTCTCCCTGGTGGCCAGCTTAGCGCACCCTGGAGTGGGGCTGGCGTGGCATGTGGTGCTGGGGATCAGACTCTGGTCCCTGAGCTTGCCTAAGCAGGCACTTAGTCCTCTGAGCTATCTCTCCAGGCCTCACTTTTCCCATTTTTGAACACATACTTTCTTGTGACTATGATTTAGTACTTACTTATGCCTTCTAATTTTTAAATCTAAACTGACCATTAAATCTGGGAACAAAACCTCATCAGCTAAACAATTTTGGTCGCCTGATATCCCATCTGACCACAAGGGCTGCTTGCAAGCAGCATTAGCCCCCGCCTTCTCCCTCAGGTTCACTGTGAAGGTAAATGCAAGTGCTAGGACATAGGACGAACCTAGGATCAAGTGCTGGACCTGCGTCTGTGGATCGCAAAGGTTTGGCTTCAGTTTTGAACATCAAGGCAGTCAATAGCACACTATTTTTCACACTGGAAAAAAAAAAAAAAAGAATTCCTTAGAGGAAACAAAACATTACCAGATGCTGAATTTTAAAAATAACAGTTCTTATTTTTCAAAGTAATCGGTTTTTACTGTAAAATATTTAAGAACACGCTCAGGATTTTTAAAAAGCTCTTCTACGATAGCATTGTCTAGCATTAGCTATTGCAAACATTCTGTTGTAGATCCTGCCAGAGATTTTAGGTATGCCTGTAATTTATAAATTATTGCTATACTCCCAAGACTTTTCACTAGCAATATGTCACAGAAATTTTTTTTCAAAGTTTTATTGATAAACAGATAGCAATGAGATAGTTTCAAATCAAATCGGAAGTACAGTTTCAACAAATAATACACTGCATATATTCTTCTTAGTGGTTAATTGCTGTACAAGATGCGGACTTGTGATCCTATTTACAAACACCATTAGAACAAATCATTCTATTCATTAAGAGAATGCAACTATATATCTATCCCAACCACTTTGAATACACAGATACAAAATGGACATTCATCGGTATACCCCATTTTTTCTAAGTTCCGTTATTGAATATTATAGGTGTGTAAACAGCAAAATATTCTAAAAGAGTCCAGTAGCCCAAAATAGCATTGGGTCTTCTGTTTAACTGGCAATGTCAGAAATTATTGACCTGAGTCCCCCACAGCTCAACTTAACAGCATGGCTTTATTTCCTATATTTCGTCTTCATACTTTTCTACTGGATGGTTAAGACCAAGGTAAAGCAGGACCTATGCAACAAGAGTTGTAGCTTTTTGGTCTGAGAAGGTCAGTGAAATGCCCTCAGGATTTATCCTGAGATCCTGTACCTTAGATTGTAGAACCTTTGTCAGTACAGCCATGTGGATGAGTCACGGCCATTGCTTGGCCAATGTGCTCTCTGTATCACAGAAATTTTAAAACATCACCAGTGCCAGGGAGTTAGCTCAGTGATCTAAAAGCCTGCCTGGCATGCCCAAGGACCCAGGCTCCATTCCTAGTACTGCATATTGTGCCGGCCCACGCTTTGCCAGCCATTGAAACCAGGCATGGTGGCACACATCTGTAATCCCAGCATGGGGGAGGCTGAGACAGGAGAATCGCCATAAGTCTGAGCTGTGTAGAAAGATCTTGTACCAAATAAATAAAATATCATTATTAATAGTCTACAAACAGAACTTTTGAAGGTTTCTTGGGCTGGGGAGATAGCTCAGTGGAATAAGTGCTTGCAAGCACAAGGTCCTAAGTTTAATCCCTGGTACAAAAAAAAAAAAAAAAAAAAAAAGAAAAGTTCTCAAGAGAACTTCACAACTATTAACATATATTTAATAATACAATGTATAGTTAAGGAAGGAAACCAATACTCTGTGCCAATTATTATACAAACTCTTAATAATTTGTATATTTAGCCAGGGCTGATGGTTGAAATTAAATTTTATTACCTAGTCTATCTTTGAGTACATTTGAAATGTAGCTGACATTATAAAATCCAACTCTCATAGTTCTTTGTTTTGTTTTGTTTTCTTTGATTTTGGAGACAGGGTCTGACTATGTTGTTTAGGTGGGCCTGGAACTCACAGTGATCCTCCGGCCTTAGGGTCGTGAGTGCTGGGATTGCCTGCCTAGCCTCACATAGTTCTAAGGTGCACCCCTGTACTTGCATTGCAGTGCTTGTCACTTTAAGGATGAAGAGAAATGCTGAAACATTTGCATTGTAAATAGATGCCTAATGAAACTTAGCAAAACCTCAGTTCCCTCTGCTTTCTCCACATCTAGGACACAATGTAAATAGCCTTCTTTAGCCTCTTAGCCTTCACTTTGCTGCTGGTGTGGGGAGAGAGAGAGCATGCTTTGTCAGTCCTCACTTTATTTGGCTCCAAGAAATAACTTCTGACTTACAGATGGTAGAAAGGAAAAAGGGCACAGTGGAGGAGCCTATTGTGAGCAGGATTCTAGACTCCAGTGTGGGAAACACTTGCTAACCCGGCAATCTTATCTTCAGAGGTTCTGGTTCAGTACGTCAGGAAGCAAATGTTCTCATTCAGTTGTTCTAGAGTGAATTCTTTTTTTCTTTTTTTTTATGTATTTAGTACAGGATCTACAGGGTCTCACTACATAGATCAGACTCGTAGTGATCCGCCTGTTTTCAGCCTCCCAAGCACTGGGATTACAGGTGCGTGCCACCACGCCCAGTCTCATTCACTATCTCAGCATGCCCTGGGAGTGGGGCCAGCACGGCACACCCTGGACTGAACCCCGGTCCCTGTGTCTGCCTAAGCAGGCGCTTTAGTCCACTGAGATATCTGGCCAGCCCTTGCAGTGAATTCTTGTTCAGTTTTACTTGATAGTTGGTTTTCTAATTCCTAAAATCACTTAAATCTGTGTTCCTCAAAATTGGATATAAGCCCCTTCTCAGGACTGTGGCAGGGTGCCCGAGGACTCACGAAGTCATAGCAACAGCACAGTATACCTTTCTGCGGTGTCAGTCCCACCCAAAGATTTGAGAGTAAGAGAAAATTAATATTTAAAATGTAACATGGAACAGGATATGAAATTCACATGAATTTTTAAAATGAACTGAGGACTTCAAAGGCATTCTCAGGGCAGGCCTACACACTGTAGTGGTAGAGGTCTACGTTTGCCTTCCCTTACTGGCCTGGGCCACCACTGGAGGAACACCTTGCTGAGAATGACCAACCACTAAGAGATGCAGAAAGTGCAAATTAAAAAAAAATACCTTTTGCAAAAGGAAATACGAGTGAATCATAATCTTCAGGCAATTCTCTTCTTATTTATCAGCGTGTTTCTGTGTTGCAGATGAATTGTCTCACGGTGTTGAGCCTGAGCCACCTCGGGCGCCAGACTGCAGGCCTAGAGACCATCAGCAAGGTAAGCCCCCTCTTCTCATTACTCTAAACGCTGACAACTCCTCGGGTTCTGGTCCGTATGCCACTGAGATAAGGAAGACAACAGATGACTCCATATCTAAAGTCCTAGACTGGTTTAACCGAAGTTCTTACTCAGAGGACAGTAAGTCATCCCTCCAACAACCCCAACGCATGGGACCCAAAGAAAAAATAGACTCAGAATCACAAGTTCCTGTTGCCTTTGTGACAGATGGTACGAGTTTAAAAGAAAATGGCTCAAAGGCCCTGTCACCTCCCAAAGTTGAACTGAAGCCGGTAAGAGCTGACTCAACATGTCCAGTAGAAAGAGAGAAGCTGCTTTTTGAACAGGGCCAGGACAGTGATGCTAATATCAAACCCAAATGTATGAGTTTGTCCCGAGAAGACACCTCCAAAGAAGGTCTGGGTGTACTGCAACCACTTCACAGCTGCTGTGCTGTAAGTCAAGGGAATAAGACTGCGGACTGTCGCCAGAGTTCAGAAAGCACAGGAAGAGGAGACGAGCCATCTCCCTCAACCCGTCACTATCCCTACAATGTTCTTAAAGGATCTGACACAGAAGTACAAGCTCCATACAACACTGACAATATTGGCAGCTTTGATGAAGAAGAACCCAAGCTCCATGCTCATGAAAAGCATAAGGGAAACTCAAATGCCCATTTTGACTCTTCCACAATTGATCAAGAATCAAACTTGAAAGACCACACGAGATCAGAGAGAAAGAGCCAAGAGGAAAATACTTCCTTCCTGGAAGCTTCCTTAGAGGCACAGCATGGCGCGTTGCCACCTGGGGCTGCCAACGAGGGATCTCTTTGGAGGAAGCCTGAGGTCCAACCACAGCTAGAAGCTGGTAAGGTTCCTCAGAACCATGTGCAAAGAGAAAAATACAAAAGAGTAAGGGAAAGAATATCCTTCTGGGAAGGAGAGAGAGCTGCTGGTGTCAAGCTAACTCGTAAAGAAGCCACACCCTCTGGTGGCCAGGAGCAGCCTTCTGCTATAGCCCCACAGAGTGCGACATCACAGAGCGTGGCCATGCGCAGTTCATCTACAGACCCGAGCGAATATACTCAAGTCACTGCCAAACTAGTGGTCCTTGATGAAGATGATCAAGTGTTCCGTGTCCCCAGCTGTTACTCCTCAAATAACCCTGAAGAGACCAGGCCCCCGACGGCAGGTCCATCTGAATACTGTTTTTCAGTGAACCAACCAGATAAACTAGCCCTGGCGCACAATGAGAGAAATGAACTCATGGAAAGATTGCCAGTAGAAGATGGTTTGCAGCCTAGAGAAGGCGTTACCTCGCAAGTGCAGCAACATTCATCAGATGCTGAGAGTGGAGTATCTACGCTGGAGAAAGACAGATTTCTCATTGGTGAATCAAGTGCCAACTTTAAAGTTATGTCCCTAAGAGAAAGAATGGATGAACCCAACACAGAACAGCTCTATAATCACTCTCGGTTTGAAAATTTGAAAAAGTTTTGGGACTTAGGAACTCATTCAAATGATAAGGATAATTATGACAGGAATAGTACAACAAGCCAAAAAAATTCTGTGGCTTTTAAAAGCCAGAAACACAAGAAATTAAGTGACAATAAATCATCAGGCAAAAACACCCATGAGATAGAGGCACTTTCGAGCCAAAGGAACATTATGGCGGGAGAGGAAATGGAGAAATTCAACTCAAAGAGCCTGAGCCAGGCACTACCCGATGAAACCACATTGCCTTCAAGATCACCCAGGGGGTCCACTCCTCCCTTGGCCCGAAGTGACTCATCAAAGGATAAGGAGGAAAAACATATGGAATGGTTTGCTACTCCAGTGCTTAAAGAGGAAAAATATTACTCCGATCAAGAGATTCAAGAATCCATGGTGAAAACCAGCGCTGTGACTAACGACTACAGCACTACTTTCAATGACACTTTACAAAAGCTGCTTTCAGAAGCTTTATCTCCAGGAGACCGACCTTCTGGCGGAAAAGTCTGTGTGGAGCAACCAGCTGAACGAGCTATTTCTGAAGACAAGAACTGGCTTCAAAAGACAGATTTGGCTGATAATAAACAAGAAGCCAGAGGATCTGCAGAGCTCCCTAGTGAGCACGTAGGCCAAACGGTCGTTCTAAGTGCAGGTGCTCCCTCTACAGAAGCAACCGGAACCTCGCATTCTCCCTTGCAAACTGAGATCAAACCTGTTACCACCAGAGCCAGCTCCCAACCTAAAGAAGATAGATTTCGTGAAAAGGAGATAACAGAAAATCACAACCCTTCATTTTATCAGAAAGAAATAACACCGCTTCTTCCAGAGGGCGGTGACACTTTGGGAAATGGAGTTGTCACCCAGAAAGTTCAAAGTGCCAAGTGCCAGCTCAACAAAGAAAACTTATTTGCAGTGACTGCAGAGGGTTCTGTGGCACTGGCCCAGACTTCACATCTTCACAGAAAAGGCTCTTTTGAAGATGTGGCCAGCTCTCCACAAGATACATCTTTTTCCTGGGATATGCACCAAGATAAGGCATCATCTTCCCAAAGGGAAATCGTAGAGACCATAGAGAGAGCCATTCTTCCACCCAAACCTGCACTGAGTGATGTAAATAATGCATTACTAAAGCTGCTCAAGGAAGTTCCCTTGAGTTATCCATCTAGGAGGGAAGTAGGTCCTCGAGCCATGAAAGCAGATTTTTCTGAAGGAATTCAAACAGCAGGCAGCCCCCCAACTCCTCTGGAAGTGAGTCCACCAGGGACTGCCGTGGGTACCATTGTTCCAGACACGAAGGACTTTCATACCTTCACCCTGTTTCCTGATACAGCTCATGAAGTCGGGTCCATCTTAGCCCCCCAAATGTCTCCACCAGAACAGCTCACTAACTCTTTTGTTGTCACCATGAACCCCAGTGACAAAGAGCCACCTGAGGAAGTGGCAGATACTGTGACAAAAACAGTGACTCCGCCCAAATCAGAGTTCCTTGAATTCAGTACTTACTTGGAAAAACTACCCAAGGAAACACTACAAAACTCTTCAGCAAAATATGAAAAGGATCCAGGAGCCCTTTCTCCAGCAGAGTTTATGGGGAGCACTGGGGCCCCCCGGCAGGCTCCTTCTGAGTGCCACCCTCAGGAGATACAAGAAACAATAGAAAGGGCTGAGGCTCTGTCAGTGACGGAGAGTGCTTTTGACTCTGGGTTTCAGAAACTTCTTAAAGAAATAGCTGAGGTCCCTTTTTCTCAGTCCCGGCTGTCAGCAAAGGAGGAGACTCCTGAGGAGTCCTTAGCATCAGAGCAGGCCATGGTCTTGAACGCAGTGCCCTGTGTCTACCAGGCAAGCTCAGGGGCCTTAGAAATGAAGGGTAAAAGTGGTTTGCATCCTCAGGACAAGCAGTGTGATAAAGCGTTGGGAGGAGACGAAGCTGTGACAGACTTACCGGTAGATCTTTGCGGCTCCACGAGTGGTAGGATCTCTGGGACCCCGCGGCTTTATGTGGACTGTGAAATAGAGACCACTCCCCCTAGCCGACCTTCGGAGCACAGGGAGAGTGAGGGGGACATCAGGGAGGGACGAGGGGATTTTCAGGGATCAAAAGCAATGGATGAGTCCAGAAATAAGCAAAGCAATCCTCTTCTGCCAAACAGAAAAGGCCCTAGAGAAATAAATAAAGTCACATCATCGCGTGGGGGACATGACGATGAACGTTCCTCTGACTCTGATTTTTCAGATGGAAACACCGGTTCTCATGCAGAAAGTTGGCGAAATACCTCCAGTGAGCATTTTGGAATTTTTAACCCATGATGAGTCTGCTTTATGAAATACTAATGCAAGGGATGATTTTTTTTTCTAATTAGGATTAATTTAATACTCCCAAATGGTGCTAAACTCTTTTTAGTACTCCTCCCAAACTTTTCATGATAAAAAAATTCATTTATATTCTTTTTTAAAAAAATTTTATTTGTGTGTGTGTGTGTGTGTGTGTGTGGCCAGCTCAGCCCACCAGGGGGCGGGGCCGGCTGGCATGTGGTGCTGGGGGATTGAACCGCGGTCCCTGTGCTTTGCTAAGCTTGTTCTAAGTAGGTTCTTTAGACCACTGGGCCATCTCACCAGCCCAATATATTCTATATTCAAATTATCCACACAAACACAGTTTTTTAAAATCTGTGTTCTGGTCTAACCTTGTTTCTCATTCATCTGTAGCTCTTTTACACAAAGAAATATTTTTAAAGGGCTGACCATATAGCTTAGTGGATTGAAGCGCCTGCAAGCAGGCACAGGGACGGGGGCTTTGATCCCGGGCCTGCCGTGCTGGTGCTAGCCCCGCCCCCAGGGCACGCTGAGATGACAGTTGAGACTGGGCGTGGTGGCGCGCACCTGTAATCCCAGCTCTTGGGAGGCTGTGAACAGGCGGATCACTACGAGTCCAATCTAGTAGTGAGACCCTGAACACCCTATAGACCCTTCCCTAAAATACAAAATAAAAAATATTTTAAAATAATTTTTGAGCTTTATAAATCATCTGAAAAATTTAAATCAGTGTTCCTCCTGAAAATAATTAGAATTTCTTAATTGGCAGTCCACTTAGAAGTGCCTTAAAAACAAAAAAGTCTGTAGTAAGAGATGCGCCAAGAAAGTGCCACCGATGGTCACAAATTACCCATTTAAGAGCAGTGTTTTACTGCAGCTGTGGCTAAAGATCAGGAACCAAGTTCAGGGCTGGAACTTCCCTTCCCTCCGCTGCACCGTGCTGTGGTGTCTGGCGGCCGGCTGCTCTGCCCCTCAGCATAGACATCTGCAGTCTCCCCTCCGAGATCCCGCCTTGCTCAGAGGACTTCCTGGGGTTCCGCCTACATGCACTGCCTGGCTCCTGCATGTCTTTGGTATTAGCCTTGGCTAAATTGTAGCAAGGTTTTGTTCAGTTGCCACATTCGTCTGGGTGACATGTGGGTACCGGTTTCGGCCCACCTACATGTGTGAGTACCGGTTTTGGCCCACCTACA